CACTCAAGTCAAGGTCGTCGACCACCTCACTGCCAAATATGCCGCAAAGAGGGCCATTATGCTGACCGCTGCAACCAACGGTATGTTCGACCTGATTCTTCTCATGCTCACCTTGCTGAAGCCTTTAACACGTCATGTTCTATTGCTGGACCCGATACTGCTGATTGGTTTCTGGACACTGGAGCTTCGGCCCATATGACTGCTGACCCATCTATTTTGGATCAGTCTAAAAATTACACGGGTAAGGACTCTGTGATTGTAGGAAACGGTGCATCCCTACCCATTACCCACACCGGTACTCTTTCTCCTGTTCCAAATATTCACTTGTTAGATGTCTTGGTTGTCCCTCACCTCACTAAAAATCTTCTTTCCATAAGTAAATTAACGTCTGATTTTCCTCTCTCCGTTACATTTACTAATAATCTTATTACTATCCAGAATCGTCAAACAGGAAGGGTGGTGGCAACCGGTAAAAGAGATGGAGGGCTATATGTGCTGGAGCGCAGCAACTCTGCTTTTATTTCAGCCCTTAGAAACAAATCTTTACATGCTTCATATGATTTATGGCATGCTCGTCTAGGTCATGTGAATCATTCTATTATTTCTTTTTTAAATAGAAAAGGTCATCTTTCTCTTACGTCTTTATTGCCTTCTCCATCATTATGTAATACCTGTCAGCTTGCGAAAAGTCATCGATTGCCTTATTCCCGCAATGAACGTAGGTCGTCTCATGTGTTAGATCTTATTCATTGTGATCTTTGGGGTCCTTCTCCCGTCAAATCAAATTCGGGTTTCCTTTATTATGTTATTTTTATTGATGATTATTCTCGATTCACTTGGTTTTACCCTTTAAAATTTAAATCTGATTTTTTTGATATTTTTCTTCAATTTCAAAAATTTGTGGAAAATCAATATTCTTCTCGTATCAAGGTATTTCAAAGCGATGGTGGTACCGAATTTACTAGTACTTGTTTCAAAACTCATTTACGTAATTCTGGCATCCACCATCAACTCTCTTGTCCATATACACCTGCTCAAAATGGTCGTGCCGAGAGAAAACATCGTCATGTGACTGAGACTGGCTTGGCCCTTCTCTTTCACTCTCATCTTTCTTCTCGTTTTTGGGTTGACGCCTTCAGCACTGCAGCTTATATTATCAACCGGTTGCCTACTCCACTTCTTGGAGGTAAGTCACCCTTTGAACTCCTTTATGGCTACACTCCACATTATGACAATTTTCATCCCTTTGGTTGTCGTGTTTATCCTTATTTGCGTGATTATATGCCTAACAAGCTTTCTCCCCGCAGCATTCCTTGTATTTTTTTGGGTTATAGTCCTGCTCATAAAGGGTTTCGCTGTCTTGATCCGACCACCACTAAGCTATATATCACCTGTCATGCTCAATTTGATGAAACCCACTTTCCTGCTATCCCTAGCTCCCAGACCCAACCTCTTTCCTCTATTCCTATTTCAAATTTCTTAGAACCACATTTTCATCGTATTGATTCATCCCCCCCTACCACTTCATCACCACAAACTCCTCGATCCAGTTCATCCCCGTGTGATATTTGTTCTGACCTTGTAGATGAGTCTGTGCAGGTTGATACTTCTCTTGCAGGTTCCACTTTGCCACCCTCGACTTCTAATTCGACCTCTATTGAACCTCCTGTTGATTTCTCTTCTTTGGGCACTCATCCTATGATCACACGAGCCAAAGCTGGTATATTCAAGACTCGTCATCCAGCAAATCTTGGTATTTTGGGCTCATCTGGACTTCTTTCTGCTCTTCTTGCATCCACTGAGCCAAAAGGATTCAAATCTGCGGCTAAGAATCCTGCTTGGGTGGCTGCCATGGATGAAGAAATTCGAGCATTACAACAAAATGATACTTGGACTTTGGTTCCTCGCCCTGCCAACACCAACATCGTGGGCTCTAAATGGGTGTTTCGTATTAAATATTTGCCTGATGGATCTGTCGAGCGTTTCAAGGCTCGTCTTGTTGCCAAAGGTTATACTCAGGTTCCTGGTCTTGACTACACTGACACTTTCAGTCCGGTTGTCAAAGCTACCACTGTCCGTGTTGTACTTTCTATTGCAGTCACAAATAAATGGCATCTTCGACAACTTGATGTCAAGAATGCTTTTCTCAATGGAACTCTTATTGAACGTGTTCATATGGAACAACCTCCTGGGTATATTGATCCTCGATTTCCCACTCATGTTTGTCTATTAAAGAAAGCCCTCTATGGTTTAAAGCAAGCTCCTCGTGCTTGGTTTCAGCGTTTTAGCTCATTTCTTCTCACACTTGGGTTTTCTTGCAGTCGCGCTGACACGTCCCTTTTTGTCTTTCATCAGCAATCTAAAATTATCTATTTGCTTCTTTATGTTGATGACATTATTGTTACCGGCAACAACTCATCTCTTATTGACAGCTTCACTCGCAAGCTTCATTCTGAGTTTGCTACCAAAGATTTGGGTTCTCTCAGTTACTTTCTTGGTCTTGAAGCTTCACCCACTCCTGATGGTCTCTTTATTAGTCAGTTAAAATATGCTCGAGATATTCTTACTCGTGCTCAGTTGCTCGATAGCAAACCAGTTCACACTCCCATGGTTGTTTCTCAACACCTGACTGCTGATGGTTCTCCTTTCTCTGATCCTACTCTCTACAGATCTCTTGTTGGCGCCCTTCAGTACTTGACTATTACGCGTCCAGATATTGCCTATGCTGTCAATTCTGTCAGTCAATTCTTGCATGCCCCTACTGCAGATCACTTTCTTGCTGTCAAACGTATTCTTCGCTATGTCAAAGGAACACTCCACTTTGGTCTTACCTTTCGTCCATCCAATGTTCCTAGTACGCTAGTCGCTTATTCGGATGCTGACTGGGCTGGTTGTCCCGATACTCGTCGTTCTACATCCGGCTATTCTATTTATCTTGGTAACAATCTGGTTTCTTGGAGTGCCAAAAAGCAACCTACTGTCTCACGCTCCAGCTGTGAATCTGAGTATCGTGCTCTTGCCACAACCGCTGCTGAACTTCTTTGGGTTACGCATCTTTTGCATGACCTCAAGGTCCCTATTTCAAAGCAGCCCTTACTCTTATGTGACAACAAAAGTGCTATTTTTTTGAGCTCTAATCCCGTTTCTCACAAGCGGGCCAAACATGTTGAACTAGATTATCATTTCCTTCGAGAACTTGTTATCGCTGGCAAACTTCGCACACAATATGTACCCTCTCATCTCCAAGTTGCTGACATCTTCACAAAGAGTATTTCTCGACCTCTCTTTGAATTTTTCAGATCCAAGCTTTACGTTCGTTCAAATCCGACGCTCAGCTTGCGGGGGGGTGTTAAGGATAGTTGACCGTCACTATAAGGCAAATATCTAGATATTTGCCTTACATTACGGGTTACCATATTTGCCCTCTTATTAAAGGCAAATATATTGCATTCATTTATTATTCTTTCCTTTTATTACTATTTCCATAATATTTGTAATTTACCATATTTCTGTATTCTGAAAATAATTATAAATAAGAGAACTCTCACCCCCATTGAGGTGTGGTGGATTCAGCAAACATTCACAAGAGGGTTATCAGTACCCGTGGAGTTTAAGTTGCCAAAAGAAGTATGGACAGGAAAAGAGATATGTGAAAATAGTTGAAGCTGGAAAGGAGATGATATGGATGACAGACTATCTAGAAAAATTGGGCAAGAAGTAACACGAGAAGATTCTTTGTACAGAATGTCATATAGTTGGTGAAGAACCCGGTCTATCATTCAAAAATAAAACACCCATATCATTTTACTCGTAGGTTAGTGAAAGATGGTGATGTGTTTGGAGAAAATAGAGGGTGCAAAGAATCTAACAAACATGTTGACAAGATGTGTTAGGTTGGAACATTGAGGTTGTGCAAAGCCTCAATTGGTGTAGTGTAGTGAAGATTGAGAATGAAATTCTTGTTGACTGGATGAGTCTCCAAGTTGGAGAATTGTTGGAATATGGAGATGAACGGTTGGGATATGGAGCATTATTTATAACAAACCGGCGGTGGAAATATATAGGGTAATATTTGATAAAGATTTGGTGAGTTGGAGAATGGTTGGATATGGAGCTTGATGACTATTTATAGTAAAATATCCGATAGAGATATATATAATAGATATTTTGTAAAGATTTGATAGAGATATATATGGTAAATATTTTGTAAAGATTTGACAGAGATATATATAATAAATATTTTGTAAAGATTTGACAGAGATATATATGTAAATATTTAGTAAAAATTTGGTAGAGATATATGGTAGATATTTCGTAAAGATTGAGTAGAAAAATATATGATAGATATTTTGTAAAAATTTGATAGAGATATATTTTATCGTAGTTAAATCAGTTAAAAAATTATATTTCGTAGTTAAATCCGTTAAACCTAGTAAACAAAAACCATATATACATGAGTGCTTCTTGGTCAGTACTTCAAAAGGTACTTTCTTCCCGTCTCTGTTCTATTTTGTACCTATCCAAAGCCATCAATCTCTTGCATCTTTTTCTTTTGTGTTATTTGTGTTCATCTTTATTGAATGTGTGTATTGTTGCGCGATCCTAATACTTCTAAGTTCTTAATTTGTAACATTTGCAACATAAGTAATCTGTCTATGCCTCTGAGGAAGCATATTTGAATGCTGTAACCGGCAAGATGAGTAGGAGTGAAAATCGCCATGAAAGCGCAAGCAGTCGAGTTCGTCCTGCATTTGTAATCCAGCCTCCGCCACAGATGAGTAATCAGCCACACCAACGGGCAGTGCCTAATCCGCTATATCAACAACCAGCAGTACCTAATTCACTTCCGCAGCAACATACTCAGCAGTTAAGGCCAAAGCCACATGGACAACTACAGAGACAAAAACTGAATGTCAGGCAGACACATCAGCAAATTGGGATGCACAATCAAAGCTTTGTTAGTCCACAGAAAGCACTAAATTCACCATGCGGACCACAGGGTTTAGTGAGTCCAATATTCACACAAAATCCAAATGTGTTGACCTTGCAGCCAAATGAGAATTTGACCCAAGTAAAAGAGGTATTTGGTTCTGTTTATAATTAAATCTTGGTTAGGTCTAGGTGTGTAAATAGGTAATTTGTTTGTGTTGTTAAAATACCATCCGTTGCCGGTCAAGTCCAATAATTATATGAGGAATGGTAGGAATAAAGATACATAGATATTTCAGGAAAACGATTTAGAAATTTTAGGAATAAAGATACATAAATACCCATCCACCTTACTTAGATTATCATCCCAAGAAATACAGAGCATAGAGTACTCTAGAACCTAGAGTGTCTTGTATTCTCTTCTCAGTTACACTTTGAGTTGTGTTGAATATATATATATATTTATTGCGATCTGAAAGTCAAGCTGTTGTGTACAGGGTGTGATTGGTGAAGCTTTTTGGGCCTCAAAAGTCTCACATCAACACCGTCCTGCGATAGAGCAGCAAAAGCAACACCAGTCCATGGGAGCTTCAGCAGGTAAGTTTAAGTTTTTTAAGAGTTCCTATTCTAAATCAACACCATAGTTCTTAATGTTCTTTCTTTTGATGGTTCCTCAACTTAAATGACTTGTATCTTTAGAAACATGGAGCTTCAATCTACAATGTTCTGTGCTTATCTTTCATGTTGTGTTGCACAGTTCCAAATGGAGTTCCAAATTCAGAAGATTGGCATGATCTTGCATTTGCTGAGGTATTTTTTTATTATATTAATTCATGGAAGCTTTCTGGAAGTTAGGGTGTGAGTTTTGTATGTCAATTTGAACGAAGTGCTAAGCCGCTTTTTTTGTTCTTGCAGATGGAGCAGCTCAAGAAGATATGCGTGCCTCTTTTCAAGAAGATGTGTCAACAGTATATGCAGGTACTAAACAGATTTCAAATAAAGACAGATATTAATTGATCTTCATCAGACTTTCATCCTTATTTGATCCACTTTTTGTGCTACCCTCCGTGTATTCTGGTCATCTTTCTTGACGGATCTTACTTCTTGTAGGCAGCACAAACAGGGAATATCCAGCACCACCTGGTTTCACTGCAAAAAATGATACGATTTTTGCAATTGCCAAGGGATAGAATCATCTTAACTCACACCAAAGAGGAGTTTTATGGATGTTTGCTAACAATTGTGAAAACTCTGAAATTATTTGAGAATTGTCATATGAATCTTGCTAATAAGCAGCATTCCCTACATGGGCAGCCCGGCCTTGGTGGATCTCGCATAAACCCAGTTCAGCAAAGTGATAATGTGAAACTCCATTTTCAACCAGTGAACTGGGCTGCAAATGTCTCTCCTGGTAGTTCTTCATCTATAGCGCCACTACGACAAAAAGGTTCAGTAAGGTCAGAAGCAGATTGGGTTCAGGATAATCTGTCGCAGAATAGCCAACATTCAGTAAACATCAAGCCAGAAATTGAACTCCAGTCTCATAACATCAGAAGCTCTAGCGCAACTACCTCTCCGCTCCCAGAACCTGCTAATCTCGGAAGCAATAGGCAATTGTCAACAGCAACGGAGCCTCAAAGTCGCTTACTTAAAGCGGTAAGTCTACGTTGTGTACAAGAATAGCATTTGTTAGAAATCATGACTCTCCACAATGGTATGATATTGTCCACTTTGAGTATAAGCTCTAGTGGTTTTGCTTTGGGCTTACCCAAAAGGCCTTGTACCAATGGAGATATATTTCTTACTTATAAACTCATTCCCTAAATTAGAGAATGTGAGACTCCCTCCCGACAATCCTCAACAGCATTTGCACGATCTAATGGATTAGCATAGGATGATCTTTTTTTTCTTCTTTTTTCCCTTATGCTCTTCCTATTAGCTGATTATGAGATAGTACAAATTTTGCAGGTTGAATCTGTGTCAAATGAAGCATTGAGAGAGGCAGTATTGGAAATAAGTTCAGTTGTAAATATGAACGACTCTATAACAGAACCATGGTGTCACTCAAAGGCCACTCATTTAATGTCGCACGACAGACGTGGTTCCTCAAATAGTATGAAGCGCAAAATAAACGCAACGGCCTTAAACGACATGCCATCGCCTCGCAGTGATACTGCTCAGTCTGGACCAACAGTTATATCAAAAAGAACTAAGCTCAAGAAACTGGTATACATCATATCTATATAGTCTGATTGAAACTGATATTTCTGCCCAGTTATTAATTTTCCTTTTTTGTGTGCTTAAAATTTTGCAGTCCGATTATGCCTTATTAGAAGAAATGAGAAACATAAACAAGCAGTTCATCGAAACAGTCTTGGAATTAGATTTGGACGAAAATCTCAATGCACGATTAGCCAATGCAGGCACTGTTCTTCGATGCTCGTATCGTGCTGTAACTGATAGTAAAAATTCAGAAGCTCACCCTGTTAAGCTGCCAGTGCTTTCTGTGAAGCTGCTTGTGCCTCTTGATTATCCAGAGGAGTACCCTGTATTTCTAAGCAAGTTTAACACAGACTGCGGGTAAGACTGATAAGGCATAATGAGTTTAAATGGCACTTGTTTTCTTGTACCTATTCCTTACTTTGCATATGGTTATAGCAATGTGGACGAACAATTTAGAGAGCTGTCGAACGAAGCAACGTCGAGGCTACGCGCATTCCTTCGCACTGTCCCGGACTGCTTGTCTCTTGAAGAATATGCAAGGGCGTGGAATGAATGTGCCCGCTCTGTGGTATCTGAGTATGCTCAACGTGCTGGTGGGGGATGCTTCAGTGCTCGATATGGGACTTGGGAGGACAGCATCAGCACAAACTAACCTATACTCTAAATAGTTCATTTGTATTATAAAATTTCTTCATTTTTTTTGGTTAATAGCTTTAAATATCACGTATTTGTTTAAATTGTTGTCCCTGAGTATTTAACTAAATCTCCATTAGTAGTTAGGAGTTAGATTTAGTTTGTGATTTGTTTTTGTTTAAATTGTTGTCCCTGAGTATTTAACTAAATCTCCATTAGTAGTTAGGAGTTAGATTTAGTTTGTGATTTGTTTTTGTTTTGATTTGATTAGATTTTGTTTTGATTTATTTACCGTTACCAAATTTTCCGTAGATTCTTAGGTAGATTTTTTAAATATTTTTTTGTATTCTATATATATAGAGTATTCTTGCTCTTCATAATTCAATCATCTCATCTACCCTTCAATAAATCCCTCTTTCACTAACAAATATCATTTTTCCTTATTAAAAAATTGGGTCAGAACGAAATCCCTCCTTCACTAACAAATATCACTTTTCCTTATTAAAAAATTGGGTCAAAATTCTTAAGGATATTTATATTTAAGTATTCGTAAGTTATTAATATTCGATTTTTTTTTAAATATCTATATTATTTTTTAGTTCAAATAATAATTACTTTTAAATTTGAATGTATATTAATAATTTTAATTATACCTACACAAACATTTTTTTATATATATATATATATATATATTTCTTTTTTTTTAAATGGAACTTCAAAATCTTTTTTAGTACAATTAATGGGTATAAAAATTTGAATATATATATATATATTTTTTAATTAAAATGGAACTTCAAAATCTTTTTTAGTACGGTATAAAAATTTGAATTTGTCACTTCCAAATAAAAAATTAAATGATAATTTCACTTCAATTTTTAAAGTTTAAGGGGATGATTGAAAGATTCTGAACCAAATTTGAAGAGGCAGAGGGAAGGAGAAGAAAATAAAAGAAAAAAAGAGGTGGCGGCGACGGCGGCGGCGACGGTGGTGTCAGCCATAGATAGAGGACGGAGCAGGTTCGGAGGAAGGAGAAATAGGTAGGGAAAGAGGGAGAAATTGTTTTAATCCTTGAGCAGATTAACCAAACTCCATAGCCACTTTGCAGCTCTGCATCGGCCACCGCTGCCCTCCACGGCCCGAAAATGCCGCCGGTCTTTGATCCATGGGAATAAATTTGTAACACAATTTCAACTATTCTAAATTTGAGATCCAACTTTTTAATCTTTTTCCTTCAAATCTGCAATGATTTGATTTGCAATATTAGAAAACAGTGATTGCTTACATGATCGCTAACCTCAAACATAGTTCATCGCAAGAACCCTAACAAAGAATCCTCAAATTTCGTTCTTCAACTGGATGATGCTTGCAAATGCCTTCCAATCTCATACGACACAAACGCATCAAAACAAGCATACTTAATCTGATTATGAGTAAGCCATTCTTGATCCCACCTACTCAACGTCACGCCCCTCGGCTTTCGGATCTCTTTCCCCAAAATCTCTTTCGCCAGACTCTTCAATCCCGCATTCTTCAATTCTCTTCTTCCCGTAACGCTCTCAGCCAAATTCCTCAGATCCACCGTCTTCCTCACTTTCAATCCGTAGTCACAGTTCAGTTTTTCAGCGTCCCCCTCGATTCCGACTCCTACAAAACTGATGGATTCGTTTTCCAGAAACTCATACAGAGATTTAGGGAATTCAGGTGCGTAAATCAGTTGCACAATCAGGCATCGGCGGCCGGTGCAGAGTTGTAACGTGGCCACGGGGTTCTCGTAGGAGCGAATGTTAGGGCGCCACTCGATGTCGAGGCCGACGATGAGAGGGGAAGTTTGAGTGTTGAGGGTTTCTGAAATCCAATCGTCTACCATGAGTGGTGAAATGGTGAGCAAAGTGAGAATCGGCTCATCGGATTCGAAAGTAACGTCGAAGTAATTGTGGGAACCGGAGGGATCTTCACGGTCAACGATGGTGAGCGCCATGGCAATCAGGAAAGAACTTCAACGAGAACAACAAGCAGGTCAAGAAAGTCCTCGACTCACAAGAGAGCTTTATATAGAAATTCCCTAATCTTTTTCTTTGACCAAAATACCCTTCAAGTTTTCAAAAACTATTCCCTCCTCTTTTTCCATTACAGAACCATTTAACATTTAAATTCTTACCAATTTTTTTTAAAAAAATATTATTATTATTTATTTGGATTTTAAAAACTATATTTAAAAACAAATTTAATTTACAAAAACGAAAAATATTAGAAAAATATCAAATAATTATCCAAAAAATAATTTTTTATTATATTTGACACAAAAAATAATTTATGGATAAGCCAAACGACATGAGACGGGATGAACGTTGACAAAAAAATAATTTACGGGACGAACGTTGCCAAACAATCAAAGAAACAAACAATATGGGACGAGATGAACGTTGACAAAAAAATCATTTACAGGATGAACGTTGCAAAAGGATCAAAGAAACAGACGACGTGAGACGGGATGAACGTTGACAAAAAAAAAATCATTTACAAGATCATCATTGCCAAAGGATCGAAGAAACAGACGACATGAGACAGGATGAACGTTGACACAGATGAACGTTGCCAAAGGATCAAAGAGACCGACAATATGAGACGGGGATATTAAAATTAAAAAAACGGGGGTGAAAAATTGTGATTGGTTGATTAAGAAGTTGAGAACAAGATCCATTTGCTGATTTCTTCTCTACTTTACATTTTCTGCAGAAGAAAAACAACACAAGGCCTGCCACCTCTGTGACTTTGACCTGGAAAAATGCATCTCCTAATAACTTGCTTCATCTCATATTTACATTAATATCAACTCTAGCAGGAGCACGCCTTTGCGTCGGTCTCGCTATCGCTATCACAACTCTGATATCGATTACGAGTCCTGTTGTTACCCAGAAGTACGCATGTAGGTTCTATCTCCTTGGTTATACATGCCATACAACAAGAAACAGCCCGAGTGTCCATCGAATTGTATGAACACGAACGCCTACAGAAACTGCAAATCAACATATCGGATTACAACACGATCAGTCTGGCTTATAAACTTAATTTTCAAAAACTACAAACTCCCTAACCAGTCTGGCTTCTTCGCCTATCTGAATCTGTTAAAAACGGATGCAGAAATTCCTCTAGTAGGTTCTAATCAGAGTCCGTTCCATTACGCGTCGGTATATTCGAACCATTACTAATAGTTTCTTGATGGAGCTATGAAACAATGTGAGAATGAAGGATGGCATACTCACAAGAAAATTGTGGTGGCAAGACTGAAGGGGCACTTCTGTCGCCTTTTTCTGGAGGCTGTACATTAGATAGAGCTACCCCTTGCAGTGGACTTGAAGCAGATATAGAAACCGTGACCGGTGCTGGTAGGCCTACTCGTAAGTATGGCGACGATGGAGGACTGCTTGGAGACAGAATAGAGCCTAAATGAGATCGTTTTCTGACTTTTGCTGACAACCCTTTATATCCGTATCGAAAACCAGGCGGAGTTGCTTCATAGTTTCGTTTCTTTGAAGCTGGACTTTCCACTGGGGATGAACCAGCTTCAGGAGCTGATGAGATCCCATTCTTCGGTGCATATTTGTGCTCCTCTGTTCCAGGACTCGGTGAATATGTAGCGTCCTGGTGGTGGTGGTGGTGGTGGTGGTGGTGGTGGTGATGGTGATGGTGATGGTGATGGTGGTGTTGATGGTGGTGG